AAAAAAAAAAAAAACTGCGATCGGCGATCAGAGATGAACGAGTGAAAAAAAAAAAATCCGAGTAAGTGGGGACGGGGCACTTCGCCGCGAGATCTCATTGCTCTTTTTTTTTTTCTTTTTTTTTTTCCCTTCCAACTTCGTTGTCTTTTGTATTACGGTACTGTTACCTAATTAGTAATACTTATTAAATCATAACTACTAGATAAATAATAAACTGAACACACGAGAGAGTTCAGCAAAATGGGGAAACAAAAAAGAAACAAAGATGTTATTATATTATTAATATCATTATTATTATGATTATGATTATGGTTATTATTATTACTATTATTATTACCATTATTATTTTACTATTATTATTATTATAACTGTTATTATTCTTTATGTTAGAGGATCTCACCTGGTGCAAAATGAAAGAAGAGACCAAATATGGCATGTGGCGGGAGTAGGAATGGCTTAAAAGATAAATAAATCTGGCGGGAGGGAAAAATGTAGCGGGAAGTGAAAATGTGGTGGGAAGGCTCAAAACCAGAATGTGGCCGGAGGGATGGCTTAAAAGATAAATCTGGCGGGAAGGGAAAATGTGGCGGGAAGGGTCAAAACCTGAATTTGGCGGGAGTGAAGGCTCGAAAACCAAATGTGGCGGGAAGGAAAAGAAATAACGCTGAAAAGTGAATATGGCGGGAAGGCTACTTTCTTCCCCCGAATACAACGTACGGTCATTCTAGCTGTATCTAGACTGAATATGCGTCAAATACAGCTATAATGGAAGACGGTAGACGCTACATGTGGCTGAATGGTTCACACACCTGGATGAAACTGTTAGGGGAAAAAAAAAAAAAGAAAAAAAAAGAAGAGTTCGAAAGCTGACGGCAGCACATTCCAGTCCTGAGATGGGAAAAAAAAAAAAAAAAAAAAGGAGATCGAATCCTGACCGAATCATAAGAATATAAAAATGTCAGGGGCTTACCCCCTTTCGAGAGAGAAACAAAAAATATATAAATAAAAAAAGTTTTTTTTCAAGTTTTCCCGAATTTGGGTCTGTATTTCTTTAAGTGGCATGTGGTTCGCCATAGTCTGCTACGGCACGTGTGCTGCGACGGTCATTTCTTTTTTTTTTTCTTTTTTTTTTTTCAATGGCTACAGATTTGCGGCGCTCATATCTTGTTGTTGGTTCAACCAATTCGAGATGTCTTTTCTTTTAATTTTTCCTTTTCTTGT